TGCAATGATGATTTTATTAATAATAATTTTATTATTTATTTCTACTTAACACATTGATGCTTCTTATCAAAATATATATATATATATATATATATATATAGCAACTTGTCTTTACTATACATCTTAAGTACCAACATAAGTTGAGGTTATCTTACACTCAAGCTGTTGCTCAAGAAAATTCCAAGAAAAAGAAAAAAGAAAAAAAATGAAAAAAATGAAAAACGATAAACGAAAAAGTGATAACCTGATTTTCTAAAACTTATATTTGTTGCCCGAGAGAAATTCTGAGTTAACAAAAAAAAAAAAAAAAAAAAAAAGAAGAAGAAGAAGAAGAAGAAGAAGTAGACTCGTATTCCAGTTTCTTTAAATACAACAACTCACTATCATCTATGAAATTTTTTTATGGTTTAATTTTCGAAATAATTATGTGCATATAATGTGTTTTTTTCATGTTTCACGTAACAAATCAAAAACCATTGAAAATATATTATAAACATTCATATGCATGAAAACAACCGAAGTAAAGAATTTTTTTCTTTATTATTAATTATTTTTTATTTATGAAAAGTAATAAAAAAAGGTTCCCAAACATGTAATCACTCACACCATCGCATTCACACACACAAGTGCACTTAACTCAAAATTGGAGAGAATGGCGAATAAGGAAGAGTAAGGTGCCCCTCCCCATTAAAGGAAAAATGCTGATGTGGCCCTGCCCTGCCCTGCCGATGTGGCCATCGGTGGGTGTGTGAAGGGCCACGTCACTCACTGCATGCCCGTCCAGGTGGCACAGAGGCTTAGATAACGCTCTGGAACTGTGGCCCTGTTCACACTGGCCACGAACTGTAGGAACAGGCTCCGCGTCCGATGCCTTCTTCTGCTGTGAGAAGGAGGGGATTCGAGCATCCCCTCGCCGCATTAAGATGGGCAATGGCCACCGCGCCCTCTTGGGCCAGGGAAACGGGCATAGATAGCCCCTGGGATTGGGTTTCCGCGGCCTCGGCCTCCGTGTGGAGTACAATTCTCCAGGAATTGCCGGCACGTCCGATGAGATTGTTGTTGACTTCCCCGCACACCCTCGCGCCCGCCCGCTTCTGTTGCTCTGCTTCAGGCGCCAGAGCATGAAAGAACCAAGGCATCGTCTCTCCTTTCGGAATCCTCCCTCGCTGCCGTGGTTTCGCACAGGCGAAGCTTGTGGGAGGCAAACCCTGCTTTCTCCACCAAGGCACCCTCGAGCTCTTTCCCTCAGCTGTAACCCTAAATACCCTTTCTTAGGGTTTCATGGTTTAGAGTTACAAATTTTATTGAGTCAGGTTGATGTGAAAAAGAACAGGGGATTTCAGGGATCGTTCTGTGGTTGTGGTTCAAACATGGAATCAGATTCTATGTGTTGTTAACTTTTTTTTAAAATAATAAATAATAAATATTAAAACGAAATAATATAACTTCATTTGAGGACAAGAGGCATTCCATACACTAGCCGTTATGCAAAGCTGTAATATCAAATTAGAAATAGAGAAAGACTACGATTATATGTTCATTCCAACTCATCTGTTATATTCTTTGATTCAAGAACTTCCGCAGGAATCTTGTCACAAGAACCCATTTGGGTTGGAATATCTGTTTCAAAAGCACATACTTCCATTGATCAATCATTTCCTAACCTACCACAACAAGCGCACACCCAAATCTCCATGATAAGAAACACAGTTCATTATTGATGCATAATGCATGACCCAAATTATTATGTATGAAATTTGTGTTCAACTTTACACATCCACAGACCCAGTATGCACATTTGTGTTTTCAAATTTTGAGTCTAACAACAATAATAATAAATTTTCAGTTTCATTCCTACAAATAAATAAATATATATATATATATATATATAGGTATAGATTCATTTCTCCTCCTGTTCTCTTGTGATACGGTCTTCTTGTGGTGTTGGGTGAGAGCTTCCAGTGTGAGAGAGCAAAGCAGAGAAAGGTAAAGAGAGACAGAGACCCACACGATTACAGAGGGAGGGGGGCTGTGCAGGTTTAGGGCTGGCTGCTGCTGCTGCTGCTGCTGCTTTGTCTAGGGCTGTCTGGGTGTGTCTGTCTGTATGTGCCTGCAGAGCATGAGGCATTTGCTCCTTTTGTCCATAACTCCCCTTTCCCCCACTTTGTTCCCTTTTCATGTGTCCCTACACTCCTTGGACTACTTCACACTGCCCTAAACTTCACAACCCACTTTCAAAACCCCCCAAAAACCAAAAAAGATAAGAAGAAAAGAAAGAAACATAGAAAGGGAGAGCAGGCAATGCTTCCATGTGCCTTCCAAGTCTGTGCTTGTTACTCAAATGGGAACCAAGGGTTTGTATATTATCATCATCCTCCCTCTCCTTTAAGAAACCCTGTCAGACTGCATACTCTATTGCATTTGTATATTGTAATGTAATGTGCAGAGAAAGGAGGGAGTGATACAGAGCTACTCTCTCACTAGACTGGAAAAAAAAAACATAAAGAAAAAGGGAATGGGTAATGACAGCCCTAAATCCCAGTTCCCCATGCTTCCATACAATCCTTCTTCATAGCAGATGAGATTTTTGGGTTTTGTTTATTTTTGTTTTGTTTTGTTTATTATAGCACTTGCGCTTCATTTTGTATTCCTTGTCCTGTTTTTTTTCCAATGGGCACGCCACCCCATGTTTAGAAACCTTTGTACGACTGGGGTGTCAATTCTGTTTCCAACAGCCAACTTGGCGCTACTTTGGCATGCTCTGCATTAGGTCCCCACACCCCTCCTCGTTCCTGGCATGGCTTCTATTAGTGCACAACTCCCTAAACTAACACTCGAATTCTCACTGAAAAGGAGTTTGATTTTCCTTAGAATAAAATAAATACATACAAATTTACAGTCATTCAAGCTGTGATGGTGTTAGTGTTTAGCTCATATTTGCAAGGATTGTATCATAGATGTGTATTTTATAATTAGTATTTCTTACAGACCACCTTTTCCTTGTTTTTATAAAAATGGGGTATTTTTAACTTGTACATACAACAAACATTGAATTTTAAAACATTTTTTTATTTCATAATTTTCAACCTATCACACTTCATTGAAACACTCCATTTCAATGTATTTTATTTAAATTTTTTGATTCACCAACTTGTTTCCATTGCCACTTTTCAACCATTTTTGATGCTCGAGGTAAACTTTCAAACCATCTTAAAAAAATAAAAAAAACAAATATTTATTTTGATTAGAATAATATTAATCTAATTTACTTTGTTTTATTTGTAAAAATGTCTGCTATGGTTTATAGTTGAAGAAATTATGAACACGAGCTTTTACAAGTTAGTAACCGTGATGAAGTTTCCACAATATAGCTCCAATACTTTGTAAAATAACCTCGACACTGCAGCCCATTCAAAACTTTAGAAAGTGTAGCAAATTAATTGTTTCTTTTGTAATATAATGTATAAAAATTTCCTGGTTTTCAAATTTTACCACTGAATTGTTTTAAAAAAAAAAACAAAAGAAAACACACCTACAAGTCCATCTGTTGTTATTTTTTGTAAAATTACTTCAATGGATCTATTTTCTTTTCTGACCTCATACCAATTAAAATTACCATCTTATTTTCATTAAAATACATTGATGCCAGTTTGTTTATTTATTAATTTCATCAAGATTTAAAACATTAAATGATCTTAACATCATTCTTCTTCCAAACAGCTTAGTGCTTGAATGCTTTCAAATCACCCATGAAACTAGAAAATGCTTTAAAAAAACAGATGTTCTTTTCTTATGAACATTGTTTAAAAAAGAAGAAGGAAATTTCCTATAATACTGATATTTTCAATCGGAAAATTCTCAAAAATAATCACAACAGTTTTACAAATTTATTCTTTAGCTACTCAACAATTTCAATTTTGAATTCCTTTCCAAGTTTTAAGCTCCCAATTTTGATTTTTGATTTTTTTTTTTTTTTTTTTTTAAATCTAGAATCTTCATCGGTAACTGTACATTATTTTATATCAGAGTAAGTTTCAAATTTTGGTTCGAAATATTAGGCATCAAAATACTTATCCCATTACGTGAATACAAACTATTTAACCAAAAAGGAATGTTCCATGAGCAACACCAATCAAAATAGGAAAGAAAACCTTGTCCTTTTTATTTATTTATTAATCAGTTTATTAGGAATTCCTCACGTTAAGTTTTCAAAACATAGTATTACTAATAGTGTCAGTGCAACTGGGATTGCATCTCCCAAAAGGGGGCACCAGGCTGAAAAGGAATCCAATAAACGAATATTCTCCACGACAACAAAGACGCGAGATAAAGGTCGAGTGTGCACAACAGGGCGCGGCTGGGAGGGCTACATCAACAGCCGCCGGCCACGGCAAAGGGAGCCGCATCGGTGGGGGAGATAGACGCCATCCACAGCTGCGAAGGCAAGGGTGGGGATGGGGCCAACATTAGCTACAAAGCTAGTTAGCTAGTTAGCAAGGTATCGCCAAAGATAGCGGAGGTTGGGGTTGGGGGGCCGGACTGTGTGTACCGTGGGGGGAAGGAAGTAGTATTGGGAACTGGGGGGGGGGGGGGGGAGTGCAAGCGGAGAAGAGGAAGGAAAGGCGGGCGAGCCTGGAGATGGTGGTACAAGAGTGCCGGGTAACTTCAGGCACGCGCTCCTCAATCCCAGGGCCTGGTCGGGACGCAGGTTTCTTTGCCGGTTTGCGGAGGGATCCGAGCCTACTACTTTCTGACTGCAGCAGTAGAAAGCAGAAGCAGGAGCAGCCTGAGTGAGTGGGACACTGGGGCAGGGCAGGCAGGCCACTTGATGCGGCGGACGATTCCGGTTTGACGACGCAATCGATCGTTTCGTTTTTGCAACCCGAGCCGCAGGTAGCCTGAAGTGTTGGAGAAGCTATATCCCGGCGGGTGGGGCCCTCTCGCCGGGGCATCGCCGCAAGCCTTATATAGTGACACCATAGCTCGGATTCTTCAATCAATCGAACCTTTTTCAGGAACTTTGCCCTCTGCTGCAGTGTACAAGAGACGAGAGAGCCAGCGAGAGAGGGAGTCCGAGGGAGATAGAGAGCCAGAGAGCAGTAGCAGCAGCAAAAGCTCAAGCCGTTCCAGACAATGTGTAACTCGAGGGATGCTCCTTAGTTTTGAATGAGCGGAATTGTGATGACTGCGCGGTGGATCAAGCCGGCGTGGAAGCTGGTTTGAAGCTGAGAATTACACTTTTGGTGTGTGTGTACATGCAATTTGAGCTTTCTAGAAGCAGTTGGAACCGCAGGGATTGATCGAAGTTGAAGAGATTGGCAAGCACCGATCGAGCCATGCCTTCTCAATCTCAAGCGAGGCAAGTGGGTCTGCAGTCGACGTACCCAACTCAACTAAATTTCAACGCGCTGCCGCCTTCCACAGCCCGTGCGCACTGCCGATCGAATGCGCCTCCGAGTGCGACGGTCGTGGACATGGAGAGCTGGTTTCCTGCCAGCACTGGAGCCTCGGAGTTTGTCACCCGTAACTGTGGGTTGAATAGTTGTCAGCAGCGAACGGAGATGCCGGTGGGTGCTGTCAGCGACAGCACTGGGATCAGCACGGGGTGTGTGTTCTCCCAACTCGTCGACTTCCAGTCCGATACTTGGTGGCCTCCCATCACTGTTCAGGCCGCCTTGCCCACCGATATTCTAACCCAACGGAGTATGGCTACACCCCTCTCCACCAATTGTCTCTTTGATCGGTATTTGGTGGCAGCAAAACTGTACGCATGTTTTTCAGTCCCATTCGAGGAGAGCTCATTTCCTGATCATAATGTGGATTTCATTCTGCAGATGAAGGTCAAATCGGCTGTGACACGAAAACCGGTGCTTTGAATAATTCTGCGTCGTTCTCTACAGGCAATGAGATGGAATCATGGCGTCGAGAAACTGTCAACGTCGACGTCTCCGACCTGGGCTTGGTTAGCGAACACCCAGAACCTGCGATGGCAGTGGTGAGCGTCGCCCCAATCTTAGTGTCGCTTTCGTGCACAAAAAGTGCCGGAAGAAAAGAAAGTCAACGACTGGAAAAGGGGGAATCAGTGAGCGCGCCCACGAGCCCCTCCGAATTGCGGCTTGTGAAGGAGAAGACGAACCAGCTTGGAGTGAAAAAATCCAAGGGGAGCGGGAAGAGGCCTGTGTCGCAACGGGAGAATCATATCTGGTCCGAACGGGAGCGTCGCAAAGGCATGAATTGCCTCTTCACCAGACTCCGGAACCTTCTCCCTCATCCCACCTCAAAGGTACGTCGGCTGGTTTCTTAGAAAACACAAACTAATGCAAAAATGTTCATTATTACTATTTAAAATTCTGAACTTTTCTGGATTTCTTTGTTGCAACTTCGTGGTGACAGACCGACAAATCGACAGTGATCGGGGAAATCATCAAGTACATCCAGTCGCTGCAAGTGAAGCTGGAGATGCTCACGAAGAAGCGCCAGCAGGTGATGGCTGCTGTGTTAGCGAGACCGGGTATGTTCGTGTCGAACAACAGCGGACTAACATTAGTGGACCATTCGAACTTCGACCCATCATCCATGACGGCGATCACTGCATTGCCGCCTCCGGGCAAGGAGTCGTGCCTACAATCCTACTTGGGGACCAACGTAGGGCTCCATGTGTGCGGCCTGAACGTGTTCATCACCACCAGCAGCCCGCGAGGGCGCCAAGGTCTGCTGCAACAGCTGCTGGTTACAATTCACAAGCACCAACTGGACGTCATCAACGCAACCATCTCCACCAGCAGCACCTCCGTTTTCCATTGCTTGCATTGCCAGGTAAAAACTTCATCCCCCACATTTTGAACCAATGAAATACTTGAACAAAGATGCGATATCCTTTCGTGTCAATGAGGTCGTGACACAGAGTGGTTCTTCAGAACGTGGTTACACCCAGTCCGCGAGGTTTCCACCAGTATTGTTTTGTTTTTTAGTTTCCTCGTTAATTCTTGCCTAAAGATGTTCAATTCGGGAAGTTACAAATTTTCGTGCTTTTGATATTACAAACGATTAGCAGGAAATTCTGCTCCCACCCAAGTGTTACAACGTAAGGGTATCTGAGAAGTCACCCTGTACTGGACGTTATAAATCTACAATGCAAGGAGCAGTTGCATCTTTGGTGCAATGAATGCGACGATGGTTGCCAAGTAGTTGATATTCGACATTTTATTCACTGAATCGATGACATGTGCAGGCATCACAGAACGCGGAGGTTCTCAACAACGACTTACATAGCGCTTTGCAGAGTATCATCACCAACTTTGGTTTACCGCAGTATTAGATCACGCGGAGACGAGCATGTTCAGGCAGGCAAAATATGTTAACACAAGATGAAAATCCACTTTCCGCGTAGTACATAACGATTTGCTTTGTTAGTGGGCGGAGGCCAAAATGGCTGTGACCAAGTCTTATGATCCGATGTCAGTGAGGTCATTGACAAAAACAGATATGGTTGTTCGGTTACTGACAAATCACCAAGTGAAAGATATTGGAGAGGCATAAGAGATGAGCTAGGATGTAGACCTGCGGGATATTTATCATCTTTTGGCAAAGGAAGAGCTGTAAATGTCGATGCATTGACAATTTTTGTATAATAATCACTCCTCTTCAACGACGGCTACTGAATTTACACAATTTTTAGAATTTTCCTACTGAGCGTAGTACTGAATTTGCCATCACCTGTATTTCTAGAAAGCTGAGTAACTCAATATCTCCAAGCAGGATGCTGTACCGACCACAGCGATCCGACGTTAACTTATATGACCTATACTTCACACCAATTCAATAATGCTCACAGCACTACCATTCTTCAACATCATTTGAAACTACCTATGTTGGTTCTAGGTGTCTATGTCACAAGCATCCGATCAAGCACAGGAGTACTGAAGACTTTGAAGCTCTCTTGAACAAGCTTGAGGTTCTATTATATAAAATAGCTCAGGGGATAAACATCCGAGACAAAACGGCGTTATGATTCGCTGAATGCATTCCTCTTTGTTTTCATAAAAGTGTGAACCAAAACTAGAATTCATAGGGCACGTTAATGTTGATCATATCAAAAGATTACATTGTCCTGGATTGCTGGTGATAGCATGAGAGCGGCATGAAGGAGATTAAGCAGGACAAAAGAGCAACGACGCTCATAATTTGTAATTAATTTTCAAGCACAAGCGTATCGCGATTCTTTTTAGATTTGTTTAGATGAGAGTTTGTCTGCAGTTTGATTATCGGTAGTCGGTGATGAGTCTTTGCTTTGATGTTGCAAGATTTGAGGGTACTGGGAATTTTGTTCTTTTGATTATACATTAGATTCTGAGGTGTGTGCTAACTGAACACATCCAATGCTATTAGCTAATGTATTGCCGCTTCCTAAACCAGTCGATGCAATTAGCTAATGATTTTGTTTTTGACATTAAAAAATGTGTGCTGATCTGGACTTTTGCGGTGTTTTAGGCAACCAAATCCACTCTTTGTAGTGTATGTTTCTCTATATCAGTGTGCATTCCTTTTAAGTATTCAACCTTCATGTATGTTGGACCGGAGTTTTTAATCATATTCTATGCTTGATATCAGAATGTGCATATTTGCTCAGCTATCGAGGATGGAGGTCATTGGAGGTGCAAATTAGTTCAGCTCAAGGCATGGAACAAAAGATGGGACACAGACCCAATGTCCAGAAGAGAAAAAGCTATGCATGAAGCACACTTTTGATAAATAGCAAGCTGTGCAGATGATTAAATTGTGACAATTGATAACAATTGATTAAATGATCTTGCTATTGTTAGTGTTTGACCTGATATATTATGCAAACATTAATTTTGCTCCAATCAACGGTTATCAGCCCCCTGTCCACTTCTCAATTGTTCATATGAAAAACAAGATATATTTGGATGCATGTACTTGCTTACTTAATCCCAATTGTGAAGTATCTTTTGATTTTGAATAGGAGATATCACACCCATATGTGTGAGGCAATAAAACTTCACAACTGCCTAAAATGACAAAATAAAGACCATATTGAAAAATATTCTTAATCTCCCTTCAGAGCAAGAAATTAAGATGGCATAGATTAAAAGTTGAATAATAGGCATTCATGTATATTGTGCCTATTTTAAATATATAATTAGATTAATATTAGTACTTTGTTGATTTAGTACATGTACTTTTTTTAGTTCATGTACTTATTTGTATTGAAAAAAGACAACTTTAAAGTCACAATACACAACATCAACAAGATTGTATACAAAGAAAGTATGGAGTAAGATGACTCTCACTTCCATCCTTTGATGATTACATCCATCTAAAAATATATCAAATATATTCATTGATATCTTATTTATTTTGAAGATATATCTTTAGCATATTATTTATACTCCTAGGATCCTTTGTTAATTTATCTATCTCAAAGATATTCTATCGGATATACTTTATATTCTTACCTAGTCTTTGAATATTTTTTAGTTGATCTTTTATCCTCTTGACCTTGTCTCTTAGCCTTTGACCTAGCTCTTTATTTATAAAATGGCCTTTTCATATATTAAGAATCAATCCTTTGATTATTAATAATTCATATATGATAATATCTTTTATAAGATAATTTATTTTATTATTACTTTTACTTACTTATTTTAATACTCTTACTTTGTTATTTGTCAAAGGCTACCAATTCTAATGCCTTTGTCAATATTTGATATTGATCCTTTACTAATGTTTTTATCAATATTTTATGTCAATCCTTTATTAATGCCTTTGATAACATTTGAGGTCGATCCTTTATTAGTGACTTTATTAACATGTAATATCGACCTTTTTTTAATGCCTTTATCAACATTTGATGTTGATCCTTTACTAATACCTTTATGAAAATTTGATTTTGATCCTTTATTAATACCTTTGTTAACAAATTAGCAAACATCTCTTCTATTATATAATACTTCAAATCAATTAGTTCTATTTCAATCTTTTCTCTTATGAAGCAATGTTGAATGTCAATGTGCTTGATCTTTGAATGATGGTTTGAGTTGTTTGCGAAAGCAAGACATATTTGATTATAATACTTCAATAGAGTTGCTTAAAATTGCACAAGTCCAATACCTTTTAAAAGTTTTTTTTAGCCATATTGCTTCTATTATACCATAGCTTACTGCCATGTATTCTATTTTTATTATAGACCTTGTAATTATTAGTTATCTTTTGAAATTCCATGAAATAGTTTTTACTCCAACAAAGAACACATATCCTATTATTAAACTTCTATCATTTGCATCTCTAGTCCAATCCACATTATAATAACCATACAAAGTAATGTTATCATTTCCAAGACACAATTTGAAATACAAAGTCTCTTTCAAGTATGTCATGATCTTTTTGATGGTTGCTTAATAGATTGGTCTAGTCTTTAACATGTGTTGGCTCACAATACTCACCGCATATGCAAGATCCATCTTTATGCCAACCATTATATACATAAATAAGTCTACTATTAACATATATGAAACACATTGAATTTAATCTTCAACTTTAGCAAATTCTTTATCCATTAGCTTATTCAACTTCAAATCCTTTTGTATTAAATCATTTTAATATTTCTTTAATATAATTTTTTTGGCTCATTGTAATAGTCTTATTAGCAGAATTTTTTACAAACTCCACTTTTAAATAATAGTGAAGCTCTTTTAAATCACTCATCTCAGCTATTTATTTTTTTAACTTTATCTTCAATCAATCTATTATTTTCAAGGTATTGATTAAGATAATCAAATCATCAATATAAAAGATGACAATCAATAAGAATTTATTTGATTGCACCATATATATGGAATAGTGAGCTTCCTTCTTATAAATCCTACATTTACAAAGAATGTATTAATATATTGGTACTACATCTTTGATAATTACTTAAGCCCATATAAAGATTTCTTCAACCTACATACAAGATGTTATTTTTCTTCTTCAATAAATCCTTGAAGTTGATTCAAGGAGAAGGTTTTTTTTTTTTTTTTTTTTTTTTTTCAACTTTTTATTTAAAAAAAAAACAAATATCTATGTGATGCATTTTTAAGTCCATTTTTTTTTTCAAATTTTTATAATAGTTTCAATGGTGGTGAATTTAGCAATAGAAGCAAATGTCTCCTTAAAATCAGTACTAAAAATTTATAAATACTCTTTAGCAACCAATCTAGTCTTATACCTTATAACATTATCTATTATATTCTTTTCGGTTCTAAATACCCATGTATAATAAATTAAAGATTAATTTGGTGGAAGTTGAGTAAATTCCTATATTTCATTATTCATAAGTAATTTACTCTCTTCTTTTATGCTTGATGCAAAAGATTCAATAAAAAGATGTTGCTTTAGAAACCCAAAATATCTTCTTTATAAGTAAACTAATGAATTCACTCTTAAATCACTTTCAACTTTACTTATAAGACTTTTTATAAGTCTTATATTCTATATAAATCTCCATTATAATCTTTTCATCTCTTCAATCACCTTTAATCTCAGAAAACACCTCTTACGATTGTAAGTGATTTTTTTAAAAAAAATTATTACATAAAAGTACAATATTAGTCCATGAATGATATAACTCAACAAAGAAACACAATACTAGTATTTTAAAAAATCATTTAAAAATAAAAAATAAAATCTAAGCCTATACATGCACTTAACAACAAGTAAGAGCAAAACTATATCAATAATTAGATGAAAAAAAATAGGGTTAAGAGATTCCAAATACTAACATGAACAAAAACTATAAGATCTATTCTTCACAATAAAAAAGCCTTCAAAGAACTTCAAAACTCAAAAGCAAAGATAAATGGATCCATAATCTATTCAAGAAAGATAATTTTGAAATCACAACATATAACATCAATAAGGTTCTACACAAAGAAACTATAGAATAAGATAACTCTTTCTTCTAATATCCATTATTTATAAGTGGTGGTTGTTGACTTAATTAACAACTTCTATCCTTTGATGATTACATCCATCCAAAGATATATCAAATATATTCATTGGTATTTTATTTAATATAAAAATATTTCTTTAATATATCTTTATATCCCAAAATCCTTTGCCAATTAATCTATCTTAAAGATATTCTATGGCATATATTTTATATTCTTATCTAATCTTTGGATATTATTTAGTTGATCTTTTATCTTCTTGATCTTGTCTCTTGGCCTTTAACCTTGTCTTTCATTCATAAGATGGCCTTTTCATATACTAAAAGTCAATCCTTTGATCATTAGCAACTTACTTAAGATAATATCTTTTACAAGATATCTTATTCTACTTTCACTTTTATTTATTCATGAATAGTTTGTTTGTTAGTAGAAGTTCAGCCATAAGATTGATAACCAAGAAAGTTAGAAGATGAGGATAAGAATAAGGTAGACAACATGTGGTGGATTTTCATCTTAAAGTTATCTTGGTGATATTTTTGAGGATAAGGATAAGATAGATTACATGTGATGGATTCTCATCTTAATAATATCTTAGTGATATTTTGAGAGATGAAGGTGACTTAAAGGAGAGGAATGAAGAAAAAAATTATGCTTGTTATAGTTATTTTATTTTTTATTTTGGTTAATAGAAATAATAAATTTTGAAGCTTAAAAAATAATATT